AATATTGTGGTATTCTCAGGCACATTGATACCTTCAGGTAAAAACTAATTTCTGATCTGAATGAGGTGAAGATAAGGGAGGGACACAATGTCAAACAATGTGTCATTGGACAATATTTTGTTGACAAAAGACTGATGTACAACCCTGAAAATGGAAAGAGATCTTAACCAACAGAATGCCTATACAAAATCTGATCTAGACTGAGATAACTAACCACTACATACAGATTACAGAAGGATCAATTCTTCTAAAGAGCATTGGCCACCCATTTTGACATAGTCTCCCCATAAGTTGAAATACAGAGAACATAGCATCCAGGTATCCCTAAACTTTACATGTCAGATGGCATTACAAGACTAAAGAACTTTCCAATGCAACTAGCACAAAAGTAAAATCATAACATAGTTAAATTGCACATAGAACATGATACATGCATTGAAAGCATGCAGATGTAAAAGATCTTCAAAGATTTTGGGGAACTGTTCACCTTTTTAAATTCAAAGAGAAGGAAAACATGATTTCAAATACCACAATGTTTCTTCACTAATAGAACTTCCACTTCTACTGTGGCACTATAGAGCATCTTTATTAGCTTCCCAAGTCATTTAGACATAATAAAAGGTAATATTTAACCATTATTTCTGTCACGAACATTATTTATTCATACCATTTGTATTAGAAAAGAAATATAAGATTTCAAGAATAGAATTACTACTTGACATTTAATACAAACAAACTTAATAAAGGGATTTTATTATTCTGATAGTGTGCTAGCAACAAGCATCTGCTTCTTTCAGATATTCACACAAAGCTCTACAAGGGTTATCTTTGTTAACCATCCCTAACTTTTAACTGATAGATTAGAGGGAAGGCAGTTATTGAACAGCACCCATCAGCAACTCTTGGGCTACTCTAGTTGAATGGTGGAAAACACATCCAGGACCCCAAGTGTGGAGCATGATTCTATGGCAACAGGATATGAACTACAGATTCACAGTCCAGCATGCTAGATATTTGGCCACACCTGGCCTGAGTAGCTGTTTAAGAACTAGCATACCCTTAACAAACAAAACTCCATAGGCTTTGAGGGTTAACAGTTATTTTAAAAAGTACTTACTGCAAATAGTAGTGTATGTGTGAAAATAATCTTACTTGTTCTCATTGGGTTTCTCAGAGCTGCATGGTTTACTATGAAGCAAGTCAGTCTCATGCCTCTGAAAAATCATGACAGAAAGAATAGGTGTCTTACACACAATGCAAAAATCAATACCTTATTTCAACAATGTCAGTACAATTTAAATCATATGAAAATAAAAGTTAATTAACTGGAAGTTTTATTCAAGTTTCAAAATGCAATAATTAATAACAAAAACAGATATTATACATATCCTGTATAAGCACACTAAAAGGAACTTTAACTTGCCGTGCAAAGTGTTATTTAGCATATCCAATATCATACCCTTTCTTTCTGTATCTACTTACATGTCAGTGCAGTGTTATTTAGCATATCCAATATCATACCCTTTCTTTCTGTATCTACTTACATATCAGTGCAAAGTGTTATTTGCATATCCAATATCATACTCTTTCTTTCTGTATCTACTTACATGTCAGTGCAAAATGTTATTTAGCATATCCAATATCATACTCTTTCTTTCTGTATCTATTTACATGTTAGTTTTACACCAAACATGTAATGATATATGCTGTGGTTTTACCATGGTAAATATTCTTTGCTGTCCTATCACCCCCTTTCTTTATTTTTAACACAACTGGTGATCTACTCCAATACGTAAAGTATTCATGCACTGCCTTTGGTTACGGAAAGTTTGGTATAAGATTTTGTTTTAAGCTTCACATCATTATACCTCAAAAAGGGAGGTTATGTACCCGTAAAAGTCAAATAACCACCCAAAAAGAGGAATTAGATATTATAATTATCAAAGTCAACACCCTCCCTTTTTGGGGTGTTATTTGACTAAGTAATCAAACTGCATGTGATGTGACATCTGTATGTATGAATGTCTTGATTTTTTGTGGCTCAAAACTTAGTTTGGTAATTACACATAAGATAACTTTATGCTTGTGTTTTGGTGTGTGTGTGTGTGTGTGTGTGTATATATAAATATATATATATATATATGCATGCTTAAAAAAAGAAAAGAAAAACACCTTGAAAATATTTAAATTTTGTTAAAAGTCAAAAATCCTATAAATTGGGCAACTTCTGGAAGTAGGAACCTGAAATTTCCCAAGAGGTGAAGGAGTCAAACTGAAAAGTAACACTAATGTCTTAAAACAATAGATATATGCCAAACTTTTGTTTATAAGATACATATCTGACTTAATATTTCTGTGTGTGTGTGTGTGTGTGTATATATTTGAATAATAAATTCTTATTTACCTTTTACCCATACAAAGTATTTAACTCATAATCAAATTGTTCATCACTTAAAAATTCTGCAGGTGATAGAACAAAATGAAGCTTACTGTGTTTGAAAAATATATAATTTATAGGAAATTCACACTGGTTCCTATGTCATCTTTTGAAACTAAAAGACCTAAATTAATTAGGTAATGTGTATCAGAGTAACATGCTATACATGTAATATAGAATATTTTAACATTAAAATGATGTCATAATTTATAAATTTTGGATATACTAAGTATAATAATAAAGTAGTCATTCCCTTATTACACTGTCCAAAACCATTAATGTTAGTGCAATGAACTACAGCCATTTTGCAAGGCGTGACATTAAAATTGATCACTTTACGTAAAGAACACACACATATACAGTGGCTCAAGTTTCAGACAAGAGTCTAAAGTTTTTAAAACACTAAATATATACAAGTAAAACATATATTTTCCTTCCTTTTACCAAAATACAGAACAGATTTCTTCACTGAGCTCACATTTCCAACCATGAAGGATACATGTCCATTGAATAATTCTTCAACGTCATTTTAGAAGCTATTACAAAATTATTAATACTGAATCATTAGCTTTTCTCCCATGAAACAGTCAATATGTCACAGGTCACCATGATAATGTCAATATTAAGGTTAAGGTTTGACTTCTGTCAACATTTTATTTAATGACTTTTTTTTTTTCTACTATGGACTTGCTATATAGACCTCAGAGAGCAAAACGAGTTTTAGGTAAAAATAAAATTTCAAACACATGCAAGCTCACTAGCCACAAACTCTTGATAAACTACTTTAAAAATAAGAAAAACACATAGCCAAGCACATGCATGTTTGTCTGTAAATCAGGGCTTAAAAGTTATGTGTGCTGTCCAACAGATACATCCGTCCAATTTCTTAATAGAAATTCTCATTCATTATAATTTAAGATATTTTAAAAGCATGCAGATCAAAACTGATGACAGCTACACCTTAAGAAGTTCTGTCACTTAAAATCCAAGAGGCAATACAGATGCCCATACAATCTGGATTGAAAAGTAGTTCAAAAATTCTTAGAAAATAAAAAAGTTAAAAGCTGATAATCATGTTAGAAAAATTGGTAATGAAAGATTACAAACAGTTGAGTACATTATATTAAAACAATTTTGAACATCCAAACCAGGAAGTCCCGTGCTCACCAATGCCGATACAAAGTCGCAATTGAACGATGTATTGGAATTATATTTTGACATTATTGGGACTTCATGGATAATGTGATGTTACTAAAAAGTTGTTGATTTTGGAAAGGTTATGTAACAGCCCTTTCTGACAAATTCTTCATATAATGAGTTCATAAAGATGTGCCAGATCAACATTTAGTACTTCAATGACAGGGATATCCCTTGTACTTAATGGAATTGAAAAAGAAAGGTAAATGAATCAACTTGGGATACACCAAGACCACCCAGAAAGAAATCTGCAACAAGTTTACCCCAGTCATTAAAAGCAAAATGTGATGTCTCTTAACTTGTGAGACCCCATGAAATAAATTTCAGTAGCAAAAGCCGTCCACTTCATGCATTACGGGCAACAGTATGCAACATTATTAAGAAGAATCCCCATCTTGAAAAGTTATGTGTGCACAATTTGCTTCCAAGACATATCAGTTCAACAATCACATACTTCAGCAGGTGGGGAATGAAATGCAATTCATGATATTTCATACAAAGACATATCAATCCAATCACCAGATGCAGTGCCTCAAACTGTTGAAATATACACTGGAAAGCCACTGTCCTCCCACACCAGAGATTATGGAAAGCTGCAGGGAGAAGAGTGTGTGCTTTGAACATGACATTCTTATGATGAGGCCTTTTGATTTGGAAAATATGCTGCAAGGTTATTAAGATGTATAGTTGTCAGACAGAGCATGACCAAACATGGTGACATAGATTGTAATGGCATTGAGAGGCTATAAAATTGTTCTAATATTATGTACTCAACCTCTGTAGAAGAAGACAGTAGGGAAATGAATGATGTGTGATACCTGTTCATAAAAGGCTGACTTTGTGCGAGGACAACGAAGACTCTGTGCACGTCGAATCAATGCTGGATGAGAATGATGTGGTGCAAATATCTGCAAACACGCAGGATTGTGCAAATGGGTGCAAAAGTTGGAAGAGTGCAAACAAAGTAGAATTAAATACAAGAAATTATTCATTCAGTGCTTTTGATCAGTGTTATATTAAGGAGAAAGAGATATATTTTCACACAATGCAAATTCCTAAAACTTTTGTACAAACACACATATGAAAACTAAGTATATCAACAATATCAATATATTAAAAATTAAGATACTTTTTTATAAATAAAAATGTACAACATTTTGCTAAAAGAATGATTTTACTTTTTTTTTAATTTAAGTGACTTGTTCTTAGGTGTAATAATGTTATCATTTGTCTTAATGGGATTTTTTTAACATTAAGTAATATTTCTGAATATTTTCATATCATTTTTATCTCTAAACTGCCCATTTAACAGAAAATTAGAACATTATTTAATTTTTCATGAGTTAAATTGATTAGCATTGCTTACAGAGAGCCTTCTTTTAAGTTCCTTTATATTTTTTAAGACTATACTTTAAACGAAGATTATTAGATACCCAATCTTCAGAAATAGATCACATAAGATTACTGAATATGTGAGAATAAAATTTATGAACTTTTTTCTGTGAGATAATTTATCAAATATCATAAGAATAGAGTATTTTACATTTATAACTGTCAGCTTTTATCTACTCATTATTGTCTGGTAATGTCATACATAACTGATCAAATTTTTTCTTATAAAAAACTTCATCGAACTGCAACACAATAACAATTTGATAATTTTTATTACAATTTAGATTTTTATGATACACACCACTTATGTCTTTTACTACAACATTATTACCAAACCTAATTCAAATTTGCCAATAAAAAAATACAGATACAGCTTGACAATATGCTGAATGTTATTAATTAGTATTACTTTTTTTTGAAAATATCATGCTGAAATGAAGAAATATTCCGAAATATATAACAAGCTGGAATCATCTCAAAAGTAGCATATTACATTCTAATTTTTAAACACATGAAACAAAAATACACTGAAAAAGTTTTCCTAAGAACAGAACTCCATGAATGAAATTACTACTGCCTGAACCAAAAGAGGAACTTTTAAAGTTAAAAGTTATCAAAACTTCACAAGATTAACAAGCAGGTTCATAATTCTCAGACTCACCTTTGTTTTCCATACTTTCCAGACACATGTAATTTGAAGCACAAAATCAATAAGAAAGTAAGTTTTTTTAGAAATACTTTTATCAACTGAAAGCTACTATGTATTGTTTGCAATAACTTAAAAAAGTTGTAAGTTAAAAGATTGGATAATATTAAAGAAAAAGATAAAAAAAATACAAATTGAAAGATAATTCCAACACATTGAATATGTCACAACTTTTTACTTTGTCAAATTACAATTATAAAAATGGAATAATCAAGCACAATAACAATATACATGTATACTAAACTGGTTTTTACACTAAAATATAACATACAGAGCCAAAACATAACACACAAGGTATACAAATGTATCACATAAGATGAAAAATAAGTCTAGGAAGAATATTTGATTTTATGAGACAGTTCAGAAGTTCAGAGGGGCTGTTACCTTTGGCAATACCCGTCGAGGCTGACAAAATTGAGCGTAGACTGGAGGAGGGGGAGGTAGAGGGCGCCTTGGCTGTAAGCAAAGCAATAATGTTATTGGAGTTTACAAAAAAGAAATGTTACAAGGCATAAACTTATTTTTTAATACGTCAGTAAAGGTATATACGTTTTCACAACATATCAGGTATAGAAAAAGTAATAGTCAATACAAAGAAAGAATATGAATTATATAAACAAACTAGTGAATATTAGATCTAAGAACAAACTAAAGATTAAAACTGTATATCTATAAAAAGAGGAGAAAAAAAAGAAGTTTAATCACAACATCATTCTTATGGATGTTAAATTACAGTAAATGTGATTATGGAAACCAGGAGTAACTAAAGCAGAATCTTCAATATAAAACAATAACAGTAAATGTGATTATGGAAACCAGGAATAACTAAAGCAGAATCTTCAATATGAAACAATAACAGTAAATGTGATTATAGAAACCAGGAGTAACTAAAGCAGAATCTTCAATATAAAACAATTACTGTAAACAAAATTACAAACTTTCATGCATGAAATACATCTTAGAAAACAAAAGAAGACATTAATTACTGCATGTGCTTGAGGTTATCCTATTGACTGATCCGAGAGTTATTCACACACATGTAATTATACTGAAAATGTTTGTACCAGTAATCTTAACTCTCAGCATTAATAAAAAAAAAAGAAGAGGCTAAACCAGTTACACTTGAAATTATGGTTTTACTTTTTTACTGTAATTTTCTTCTTGACTAAAATGACAAATATGTGGAACTAAACGTAGAATCCTCTTTCAACCTGGGCTCGGTCCCTGGGACAGACCTCATAACCATTTTGTGCTTGTCATAGTTTTCATGCTATAACTTTTAAATTAATAAGCAAATGTTAACAAAATTTAACAGTTTATCAGTAAACATTACAATGCTTTCATATGCAAAATATCTAATTTTTTTATTAAGTCTTAAGGTTTGTAAAGCAATGATTCTCTCAGGCCTTTTTTTTCTTTTCACATCTTGCCTATCCAACATGCAAAGTAATTTTCATTTTAAGATTAAAAATACTTTTATGCATCAGAAAATATTCAAACTTCACATGCAAAATCTTTACAATGTTCAGATATTTATGAAGTGTTTCTTAAGAACAAAACTTTATTTTATCTGTTATTTTCACTAACGAATCTCTGTACAGGTTCAGTAGATTTGACCATGATCTTGTAACCACCATAAAAAATTAGGAATTAAATATAAGTTATGCCTTTTTCATTCTAGAATGACAAAATATTATAACACAAAAACATAAATGTTTAGAGTAAATAGATTAACTCTCATAACACTTATTATTTTTACTATATTGGCCTTTCACCTGTGCCTAGCTAACAATACAGAAGTTTCAATGATGTGACTCACGTGCACTCACGTTACTGTATCAAATAACATAAAGGTGACCTTTGGTCTGTACAAAGTAACTTGTCTTGGCTGTGTTTTAGTCAACTAGTATTTTGTAAAATACAGTCACATTTCAATTATTGTACATTATATATGTTTTTAGATTATTGCTATTTTGAAATAAGTTCTTAAAGTTATTTTTCCTAAAACATAGAACAGTAAATAAAGAATTAAAGCAAATAATTATCTCTTCTAGTTACGGCCTTTGTACTCGGTTGCTAACCCTTTAAAAATTTTGCACTTGGAGGACATAAAACAAAATATTTTTTTTAGGTTTTACATGTACTTTTGAATAACTAAAAAATCATAAATTACTACATCAATACCATATAATTCTATTATAATTTATCACACTTAGTAACTAACCTGTATTTGGGTCTAAAAAAAATATGAAATATCGAGCAGACTAAAGACACAATCTACCTCATTGAAAATCTTAGTTAGAAAGAAAGAAATGGCATTAGGTATGTTAGAAAGGCTGAGAAAACCACTAGGGGGACATTCTAAGCTTCCGATTGGTTATTCATGTTATATATAGAAGTAAGTGTATATAAGGGTGCATTTCCAAAAATGGAAAGAGGTGAGCGGGGTGCCACTGTATTTGATTTATTGCATGAGCAATATATTAGCAAACAGAAAAGATAAGACCTTCTTATTTTATATTCTAGCTTGTCAATATCTGTAGTTTGAGTTTCAAATTTGTATGAAACTACATACTTAGTATTTTGACTTCACAAACATCTAATTTGAACCAGTGCTGCATTCAACATACCACGTTTCACACAAAAATCGATGTTTATCTGTGTTTTTAATATTTGCTATTAAATCAACAAATTGAGTAATGTATAATTCTAAAATTTGAATTATAATCTACAGTTTTGATACCAAACTTATTTACATAAATTCATGAAACAGTAGTTCAATAAAATTTTGAATGTGAGTCAACAAACGAGAAGACATGACCTTTCACCTGTGACCCGTCTAGAAAGGGTTAAACAATAGAAGTAATAGAGCAAAATATACTGTCATAAGAAAGTTTTTCTGGGTGATAACATGTCACTAAAGTGGACAGAATTGTAGATTGCTCAACTGTCCATTATCTTACAGGCAGATAGCTCAACATGAGTATGTAGTGTGGCTATGGCTACAAGTCAGGCAATTCATTACTGGAAAAACATTTAACATGAGATACCACAAAAAAAGTTCAAGAAGCAGCATCCCAGACCTGTGTTCCAAGGTGAGTCCAAGATCCATCCAGCTAGACCTAACCACAAAATTTGGCTTGATTCATAACAAAGTGATTATTCTGTATTACACTAGGTACTACCCCAGCCCTACTTCCCAAACAAGGTTGTAACTGGTCTCGTACTTCTCCAACAGCTTGGGACTGAGAGAGCAAAGATTCTCCCATACTTCACTAGAAAAAATGGGGAGGGGGATTTGTGTGGGGAAGAACCCCAGAGAGGTGAGAAAACCATTGTCATCAGATACAATCATCTAGAATTAGGTCTCACACTGAGACAGTGCAGTGGGTTACTTTGACTAAAGACAACAGGCATAAGGGCAGGTACACATCTAGTGCTATCATTTTTTGTTTTTTCATGTACAGAACAACCTGTAAGATATAATATACAGACCTCACCGAAGCAATCTTCAGAAAACCTCACCTCAAAAGTGAGCAATGAGCAGGAGTGGAGTGCTTAACACTTTCAGTATTCCTTTACTCGAGGCAGGTTTTGTATAAGTATTTCCTGTGAGGGAACTCTGGCCACACAATGTGTTTCATCATCTCCATAATAGATATATATATATATAAATGTATAATTAGAATAATTTGATTGTAAGACCTCAAAAGAAAAAAGAAAAATAAACAACCCACAATCAGATCTATTGCAAAGAGTGAAGGATGTCAAAAGGAGGGAGATGAAAACCAGGGTAGGTGAAATCTCCATGTGATGTACATAATAGGACACTAATGTGGCAGGGTCATCCACATCCCCCAACTGCAAGATTCCATACAGGGTACATCAAAATCCTGCAGTCTTGGATTGGATACCAAATGAGTGGAAGCGAGGAGTGGAGAGGAGGTGGAAAAGTAATGAAGATAGAACACCCATAGTGGGAGCAAATCAACTAAAACATGGGAGGATGGAGAAACAACTCTGTGGAAAGAATATGAGCCTAGGCAAAATAATGAATCTGCCACCAGAGCCTGAGCTTTCAAGACATGATAGTTTGACAACTGAAAGTGGTTGTGGGCCAAAAAAGACAATGTCCAGAGCCAGAAAAACAGAAGTTCTGGGAGAAGGTGCTTCCTTTTTGGGGAGTGGAGAGAAAGAAATAGTAGTAGTGTCTGAATGGACCATGATAAGAAGACCAGACAAACAAGACGTAATATGATGTCATACCTGTGAACTCAAGGATATAGAAACAGAGAAGCCTTGCCTCAGACTACCAGAAGTTGAAAACTGATCACATGTCCAGAACTGCATCTTGCCAGAACAGAGGCAGCAGAAAATTGTGGCCATAAGATTTGTGGACATCAAGCATCATACCTTCATGTAGTACAATAGTTATAATTTTGAGCCATTTATCATGTAAATTTGACAAACTAAAAATAACTGAAAGACTGAATGGCCAATTTTTCTTTAATCAATCCAAATAAGCAAGTCAGGCTCATGAAGCACTGATTCTGACTCTGACACTTTTGTATATGTCTTCACATCACATCTCTCTTTCTAGGTACCACATCCAAACAATCTCTTAGTGACAATGGACTTCCACAGATCTCTTCTCCTTGAGGCACAAAGGATTTCCAATGTCGATACATTCATCCATATAGATTCTTCCATGATCTCCCCTTCTTTCAAACCTTCCAGTTACAATCAGACTTTCAATTCCTTCTTTCCTCATAACTTGTCAGAGAAACTCCAACTGTCTCTTTCTGATGTTGTTCGGAAGCTTCCTCCTGCAACCTGCTCTTCACAAAATATCTTCATTTGAAGTGTGATTTGTCCAACATACCTTCAAAATGTGCCTTAAGAACCACAACTCAATTGTTCACACCTCCACATACCAGCAATAAACTTTTGATAATACATAGAAAACAGCTTTCACATTTTAAATTTGTTAAGTAGCTTAGCATGGTAGAAAACTGTGGGAAAAAAAACAAACAAACACTTTAGATAAAAATAAATTTAGTGTCATTTTAATTTGCAAGTTACTTTTGAAAAACATATCAAGTAGCCATATTGGAAATGGACAGCTCAAACATTGATTGTCTTAATAAACTCCACTGAATTAAATTAGTTATATTTTTTAAAAAGGTATTAAGATTTGTTTTTATTTCACTACTCTCTTGAAACTGCAGGAAATCCCACACAAGAAGTAGAAGTTTTGTTCAGAATACAGATTTTTAAGATCACATGATTTCTCCTACAAACTGTGGATTTGAGAGGTAAATGTTTAATTCTGATAAGTACATAAAATTAAGATTAAGAAAAATTTACTTCTCTTGTGGTGCAGATGTTTGGTTTAATTCTTCAATGAATCCTGATTGGCAGCGAGGACAAATATAATCCTGAAACAGAGAAGGATAGTTTTTTTATAAAGTAAATACTTTTTGATATTCAAATATGATACATGTGGATATTTTTACTACAAAACATAAAAATAAGTAATCAGAACAAGTCACATAATCAAAAACTACATACTATATGAACTGTGCATATACAATGTATACAAATACAATATTAATTGCACAGTGAATTAAAAAACAATTATAGAAGTTTCACCAACTGCATAAAACTGTGAAAGGTATATCTCTTACATTCATGGTTGTGTCAGTTCAATACATGTTTTACAGAGTTTAATATATTGCATTGGAAAGAAACTACCAAATGTAATAACTTGAATAAAATATTTCTACATTTGATATTTGTTTTAATTTACAACTTTGAAAAATCAAAAATATTTTATTGTGATACATTTTTTTACTCTATTTGTATGGGTGTGGGGTCAAAGTGTGCATACCACAATTTATTTTACAGAGGGTCATTCAATATGGTATTATGTATATGATGTCAGAGTTATCAACTATTCCTTTTACCATACATATCTGATGTCAAAGTTACCAATTATTTATTTTACCCTACATATCTGATTCAGCAACATTTCTGATCACCAAATAAGACATACAGTGATACTGAAAAAAACTATAGAAATGCATTTCTGATGTTCTAAAATTCATGCAAATTCAATATGCAAATTGTATGATGGGCAAAAGTATTCTTATGCTTCACATGAAAATCACCTTACACTACAACTTGTCAGTGTATGAGACAGACTGATGCTGGTAATTCACAAACACATATTGTGTACAAACACTTTTGTAACACATCTGATTATTTATGTATAACAGACTTGTACATTTTATGAAACACTTGCCACATTTCATGTACATACCCCTAGTAAATTCAGAATTATAGTCAGCATCCCTTCTCCTTGACTGACCCCATGCACATTTGTTTACATAAACTATTAAAAATGCTAACCTTTGTTGTAGATTTTAATTACAGTACACTTTACATTATTACTTTAAGTTTAACACTTGCATACTATGGCATTTCATACAGTCTTACAATTTGTTTTTTTAAAACACTGCTAGTACACTTTGTATTCTTTTAACTTTAGATTTTGTTTCTTAGCAGATTCTATTTTTTTCTAACTTTATTGTCTAAATTAATAGAGGTGTCTCATTTATGTCTGGTTCTTTGTTTATAATTATGGTGTTTTTACTTTTCGATAGATATGCTAAGGTTTTATGGAGTTGTAATGTTTGTGAACATGAGTTGTTTTTTTTTATTATGTTTGCCAAATAAGGTTAATAAAGTTTACTATTTGGCAACATGGTGAGTATGGTAGGCAAGTATAAAATATTCTAATGAGTGAAATCTTTATTGAGTATTATTTTTATATTTATGTTATTCAAACAATGTACAATCATGATTATTTTTTTAAACAAAAACAATATTAACCTTATTTGTGAATGGTACTAGTAAAAGTTGAATATGTCTTCATTATTTTATTTACAGTAGATAAGTACAGGAATACTACATATTTAAAAAAAACATAATGGTGACCTTGTAGTGATAATATCTAAATAACAATAGTGATTAATTTGTCAAGTATTATGTTCTACAGAAATAACATACTATCTGAATAAATTGTGAAAGTAATACACATGCACCTCTTTTTTTTTTAATTTTATAGACCTGCTGATAAGGGCATGCATATACTAATCAATTATAATCATTAATGAACCTGGCCATTATTAATCAGTTACAAAATTCCACTTGTCACCCAGCTCTAATTCTAATTATCACAGATGTTCAGGTAACTCAGAATTACTTTGTAATAAATATCTTGTAAAAACCACTTATTTGTCATACCTATTCCATTGATCTAAAGTAAATTCCGTTACCTAAATATATCAAGTATATTCTCTTCAGCAACTCCTTCTTGTAATAAGGAAAAACCACACACACTGTTCTTTAAAATAAGACTCAAAGTTTTCTTAGTTCTGAGAGATTCAAATAAGTTTAAATTTAAAATGTCTATCAATAGATCCCACAACTCTTTTAGTCACGTGTTTAAGACAATTGATTATTAATACACATACATTTTATTTTTAAAAAACAACAATGAACCTCTCAAAAACTATTCCCAACATTTTAGTACAAAAATCACCAAATATAGAAATATTAGTGTCCAAGAAATTATCCAAGTTAATGAAATAAATGATGATAAAAATCCCAAAGCAGAAACCTAAAAAACTCCCTCCAGTTACATCTCCCAATTATAAAAATATTCATGTATATCAATTTTTTATAGCACTAAGTACACACAGTCCTTCAAGTAATGTCAATAATTCTCTCTGATATTCACTATTTTATTATTTATAACCAATAGAAAGAGATTTGAATGTACTGAATTCTTTATAAGACTATCTTGTTCTGATGATTGGTTTTGAATTATTCACCTGGAGATTTATCCTCTGTTATCATCAAGCCACCTCAACCAGCCAAAGGAATTATTTTAACCCACTTACAGCTTAATTAGAAATACTGTTTAATTATAATAGTTATTGTGCATTGTATTCTTTATGTTATGTTATTATTTTGTGTACTTAATTGAATATTTGAAATAAAAAATAATTCATTAAAAGTACTCTGACAGTCCTACCAAAACTTGTTAACTTTTATTGATACTTTTGACTGCAAAAGTGTACAAGGCCCACACACAAGTACTAAATGTCTTGTTTTTATATGTATTTTTTATTTATTGTTCTAAAACTAACTCAACTGTAAAAATTAGAAATGTATTAAGTTCAAAAATGTAAATGAAAAAAATTGCTCAATGCAGTATGCACATGAATTGCTTGTGTACCATATAATTCAATACTTTGTTTACCATAACTTGACCAACATTTTTAAGAATATGTCTACAACAAATCCTGAGATACATAAAGCACTTGAAGCATGTTTTTTTTTATTTTGCTGAAAAATAAGTTTTAAATTAATTATTTTAGATGTTCAGTATGTAAAGTCTAAAGAAAGCCAATACCACATTACCATTTCTAGTAATTGAGTTAAGTTTACAAAGACACTTTGCACATCAAATAAGAGATGCACAAAACAAATTACTTCATTATGCAATTTCATTTTGAAAATATATTATCATTGAACAACGTACAATATTGAGGAAACATATGACAATTGTACGTTTCACTAGTAAATCATTTATTCATGACCTTGGTTTTGCCAGTAAAGGCATCATAGGGTATAGACTGAAATGTTTTGTAACAGGTTTATACATGTTTAAACAAAGAATCAGAAGTGACCTTGATATTTACATAGAGACAAGTGGGGTAAGAAGTGAGAGGGAGCTTAAGTTTGTTGGTTTATTTGGAACTTTTTCTGGATTTGTTTTGGCTTCTATTTATTTCTAAAATTTCCAGACTATATATAGCTTCTATTTCCAGCTTCTAGAATGTTCTTTAATTCTGTTGGACCTATTGCACTATTGTAATCTTGGTACATTAATTGGTAAATACCATTGTTGATGTAATTTTCAATTCTGTCTTAACATTTTTCCTACGTTTTTTTTTTTTTTTTTACAGTAAAAGACATGTCTATGTTAAGGTTTTCCAATGTAGCTCATCTTAAACCTTTTATTTTTGTTATCATTTGGTACAGTTAGTGGGTGTATTGATTTTAAATTTATGGCTTTCAATTTTTTAAACAACAAAATAAATCCCAAACCACCTCCTAAAAACTCAAGCAGGAAATGGAAAGCTGAGAAAGAGGGAATTTCAAAATAAGACTAGACCAAATGCAATCACCTCAGAACCCAAGGATCTGTGAGAATTATCTCCAAACTTGGGCAAAGTAGTTGAAAACATTGTTGTACCCTGTATGGAGGAGTACGAATGTGTGTGTATATATATATATATATATATATTGTAGAGCAAAGCCACATTGGGCCAATTGCCACTTCCATCATGTGGAAACGAACCCTGACCCCTAGTGTTGGAAGTTTATATATATAACATTGTCCCACAAAGGGGTCATTATCCCAGCCCCCCCCAAAGTCACCAAGACTGCTGATTACCCCAATGCTACTATTTTTGTTCAGAACAATGACTGCTAAAAGGATTTGTCAATCCTCTGCTGAAGATGACAGGCAGCAACATCTGAATTTACCCAAGCTGGCCAAACTTAGGTAAGTGAGCAATTTATTCTTTTATGTTTTAATTAACAAGTCAGTGTTATGGATTATTTTCTTTTTTATCATTCACTGAATGATAATTTTTTCAATCCCATCAAGTAACATACTGTTGCCTATATCGAAAATATATAAATGGTAATCTGTAAATAAAGGAACAACTATGACATGAAAAGGAAAGTAAACTTCAATTTAGAATTGATATAACTTTGTAAAATTATTTTTATTTTCATTTCATTTTTGGTGAGTTTATTGTTATTTTGTTTTATCCATTAAATACTTCATACTATTACATTTACATTCACAGAATAAATTTTATTACACCTACATTAATTATAAATTGATAACTCAAATTCAAATAAAACTTTACAAATACAAACACTTTATCAATCTCAGTTGATTTTTACACATACTGTATATTAAGAAGTATCAAATCTTCAGCACTCACATGTAGAGGTCCTCTAGCAGAAAGCTAAAAGAGGCTGTGTATTAGAAATATAGGGTAGCATACATGTCTACAGACACTATACATTCAGAGAAATCAAGCTGCATATAAGCATCATATGAGACAATGAAATAAATAAGTACTGTAATCAAATCTCAAAATACTGAATAAAATAGATTATTTTCATGACAGCATAAAATGTAATTGGTGGACAATGTAAAATTTAGCATAAATATAAACAAGCAATAATTACAGTGAATTATTAGGCTCCTATTGTAACATACCCAGGGGTAAGAGTACAGCAAAGTAGCCAAGATTGAAAATGTAAGCTGCCAAATGGAGCAAGTCAT